AAGCGTGTTTGTTTTACTAAATGCTCGGTCGCCTTCCACAATATAGACCGATTCCCATTCCCCGAACTTCATTTGACAAAGTCAATAAACGGACATTTTGCAACCGAATCAATGAATTCGGCCTCAATCACGATTTGTCTATATGGGTTTTATAGATCTATTGAGAAACTATGAAAAATTGGAAAAATCTTATTATAAAATATGCATTTTTCAGTCAGTCTAACAAGCGGGAAGTTCTACAGTTACATTGAAAGCTTTATCTCAATAAAAATAATAATTGAAGGCATATAGTAAATCAATGGCGTCATCTGTATCAATTTAAAAAATAAACTGCATTTAGTAATTTAAAATATTGAGGAAAACTGTCTTTTTCAGTTGTGTAAACCATTTAAACCCGCCTACCATTTTTTTTTCATTCTTTAAAATGAAAGTTTATTTATTTATTTTTAAATCAATACCTATTGCAACTATCCCATAATGGAATAACAAAAGTTATACAAAAATAGGGAAACTACCCAACGCTTGCTCCATAAGAAAACAGACACTATAGGTTGATTCGTAAGATTGTCATTGACATTGTTTAGGAAATCTCTAGTCAGGGCATGGTTGAATGGAATGTAGTGGGATGAGATGAAGATTTTAGTGAAATTTACCTTAACGGGATCTAGTTAATTCGTTCATAAAGGGAACACTTAAACCATTGTGTTTGGTTTCATATGTTACATAAAATTGTCCGTCGTTGATTACTGATTGTGTGGTTTGCGTAGGTTTGAGCGTTTGGCTAAACTACACACTTCTAGTCGGTATTTCAATATTGGTTTAGGTATGGATTTGTAAAGTAGTCTTCTCTTGGACAATGTTAAGTTGGACCGTTTCATGACTCCTTCTGTTATATTATAAGTCAATCGTTTGTCTAAGTACATCCTAAGGTATCGCTTGTCTGCTGTTGGAAGGTGAACGTTATTGAAACATAATCTCCTCTAATAAATCCTCTGCCTTATTTTATTACGTCATTTAATTTCAATAATTTTGTATTGCAACAAGATTCCAACAGTGTGATTTGATGCTGCAGATTTCGAGACGATAAAGCAGGACCCATGTTACTCGCCAGAAGGTAAAGAAGATCATTTGTGTATGAGATGGAATCTAAACTTAATTCTCTACGGGAGCCGGTACGTTGCACTGAAGAAGACCATCATGGACTAATACGCGGAAAGGGATTTTGCCTTCAATGACTCGGAAAAACTGGTCGTTAAGGTAGCTATGAAGTTGACAGCTTACGACAAGCAAAGCCCCAAAACAGTACTCCCCCAACTCAAGTCATGAAGGTTTGCTAATTCGGTTTCTATCTCGACTGAAAACAAAAATGTATTAGAATTCAGCACACTGCAAACAAAACAAAGTAAAATTAATTGTAAAAATAAACTTAATATTTACAAGATCCTAATAGGACACATATGGGCTTGAAACTGGGGTTCTAAGTAATCTAACCTAAACATTTCAGCCCAAAGTCCGTCACATCAACGGAACGCTACCTCAAATGACCTAAAAGTTACAAAGCTGTTCTCACAACAATTTTCTGCCTCTTTTTGCTCAACAAGGAACCTGATTCGTCCTTAACCTCACCACTAAGTGATCATAAGTAGCATAAAAATAAAGAAAGTAGACTAAAAAATTGTATGTAATGACTGAAAGGCATTGTAAAAAGTGTTTGATGACACACATCAAGAGTATGATGCAAGTAATAATAAAATTTCTAGATTGAATGTAATATTGTAGAAGTAATTATCAATTAAAATATCATTATACCATTTCAAACTCACCACTGAAGGTGGTAAGAAGCTGAAACTCCCTGACAGAACCTAACTTCAAAGATGGTAGGCCAAACTGGCAAAAAAACAATCACTTCATAGACCTCAAGAGAAAATCTCACTAGATTAATATTTATTATGGATTTTCCCATTTGTTTTAAAAACATTTAAATGTATGGCATGAGTTATCGTCCGTCGGTTTGGAAGTAAGGTCGAAACCGTCCGAACAGAGTAACCTTCGCTTTTATGCTAATAGCTAGTCCTTTAATTTCCTGCCAATCCTTCTCGAGAGCTCCCTCGCCTTCACTTTACATGCTTAATCCGTTGTTTAAACAGTCTTTATTAAACTCTCAAATTGATCTCCTCCAGACGTGGAAACGGCCGCCGGTTTCGGCTTGAACCCGTATGATCCGATTTATGGAATTCTCCGGAGCGAATCGATCAACCGAGGAAAGGATAAGCCAAACTCATTATTGTATGTGATTGTCAGGAGCTAGTTAGGGCACGTCTCCTGTCTCTTAAGAGGATTTGTCCGACGAAATCCCGGCCTGACAAAAGCAAAATCGCTTCACATACTTCCTCTTCTGCCTATATATAAACGATAAACAGAAATTTCTTACAAGCAAAAAATTCAAAAGGCTCATGAAAACATTTTGTTCTTTCTTAAGAATAAATAATACATTGTTTTTTTTCACACAGGGAATCGCTGAAACATAATATGCCATCTGAAATTATGAAGTCTTAAGAAACGTATCAAAGTCAGAACTGCTACAAGCATAAACAAGGAGCTTTCTGACTGTTACGATCTTTTTGTTCGATTCAATAAATATAACAAAATAAAGAACATAAAAGAAGAAAACAATTTTAAAAAATCAATCAAAATTTTTGGATTAAATGTACATATGCTGAATTGCTTTGGCTCACTGATGAGCCCTCTAAACTTGCCGTTTCCATGACCCTCAAACGCGTTTCGGCTTTGCTCCATCTTCAGTGAGGAACTGTTTCTATACTATTTTACTAATTTGACATTTAGTTGCAGTTTTTCTTATTTTGAAAGCCCATAGAATGGAATAATTTCATTGTGCTAAGGATGAACTCTGCATATAGGAAAACTGGGACCATTTGATCAAATACTAAAAGAAAGCAGTTATGAATATAAAATCTAATAATAATTATTTATTTATTTTTGGAATTATGGAATTATTGTTATGGATGTTTATCCATAGAATATTCAAGTTAATGGTTTTATGTAATCTAGAAAAAACCTTATTATCATTGTCCATTTTTATAGGATAATAATTCTATTTCTTTTTCTTTTAATAGAAAGAAATAAATGTATTCATAATGTTGTAAATAATTTTCCTAAACTAAACATTATTGTTCTGTATTAATAATTGAAAAACCGTACAGTATGATGTTCTTTAAAAAAAACTGTGCAATTATTGGAAGTTATGAACAACTTATTAAAATAAAATTTACTGAAAGTATGAAATAAAAATGAATTAAAATTAAAAGGGTAAAAGAACGGAGAGAAATATAAAGCAATTTTTATGAATAAAGTCTTTCTCACATGTGTACTTGAGCTATTTAAACCCCATTTTGTCATATTGCACTTTTTTTGAAGATAAAAAATATTGATCAAGTTTGAAATGAATGAACAATAATTTTTGTTTTATTGCCCGATTTCAAATTTGAACAAATAAAATTAAAGTACAAAACTGTTTTACTGATATTTTTCCCGAGGTATAATCTTGCTTTTTAAACGTATATTAAATATAAAAAATACGTTTTTTGGTGCGGCAAGAAATTGTCCAATAATGCGTTATGTTTAATAGTCTGAATATATTACAAAGACGGTTATTGTAATAAAAAATATCGAAAATGGCCGCAAAATAATAAATTTAAAATTAATTATATTTTTTATTTAAGGTCTTAGTTGAGATGAAAAAGCTAAAGACACGAGCCGGATTCGAACCCTCGACCTTCGGCTTCCCGAAAATTTATTTTTAGAATAACTAGATAAGTTAATTTGATTTTTTTGCTTTCGTGAAGTTTACGTTCGTAGGTCATTTTTCACCAGATTTTCCAAGATGCATATTTTCCGGATAGAAGAATTTTCAGATATTGAGTTTCGTTTTGAAATCATCACATTTCTTCGTGCCGGGATAGTGGAAAAAAGGTAGGAAAATTCGCCGCCGGAGTCGGATCGATCTCCTGGCCCAGAAGGAGGCCGGATGAGCTTGCAGAAATTCCCATTTTGCCATTATCATACCGAGGGAGAAATGGCCACGGACTCTCTCTCTCACACTCTCTCTCTCTCTCTCTCTCTCTCTCTCTCTCTCTCTCTCACTCACTCACTCACTCTCTCTCTCTTTCGCTCTCCCAACATCGATAGTTACAAACTGGGCTATTTCGGTGAAAATCCGCGTCGGGCGCTTTCCAGCTCGGATTTCCCAGGAGTGGAAATGGTGGAAAATACCAAAATTCCACCTCGCGAAAAATCAATTGTTGACTGGGAGACATTTCGAGGAGAACCGGTTGATTTAGGCCATACCCAACTCCTACCTTGGGACATGACGAAGACACTTGAAGAATTTTTCTATAAGAAACACTTATTTATTCATTAATTTATTTTTTTGTATAATAAAAATATGTTCAAAATTAATCATTTATATGACTTACGAAAAAATATCTAATTTAGTCAGATTGTTATTTGCCATTAAATACTAATGGATGGAAGTATCAATCATACAGGACCTCTTTTAATTATGAAAGTTTAAAATCTTTAATTAATTTTTAATTCTTGCCAAAAGTGATTTAAAATTCGAAAAATACATAATAAAAATTGATGTTTTAAAGCTTTTTTTAATACATTTTTAATAGTTTACCTATTATGGATACAAGATATATATGGGTAAATGAAAATAATCAATTAAAGCTGAATTTTGGATTTATATAATAATTTATCATCTGAATATCTTTTTTGCCTTTAGGAAAATAAGAAAAAAAGAACCCACGTTTTGCAGAGATTTTGATTAACAAAGGTCGGCCATTACTGCCAGGATACCAGTCCTGCAGACCATTGAGTTGAATAACTCCTATATTTAAATTTAAAAAAAAATCAAAACCCAACTAGACCCAAAGGAAAAACAATGGAATCAATATTTATGGTTAATTGAGATTGATTACCTTGTGAGGAGGGCGAGTAACTTGGCCTTAATGCTTGATGCTAGGTCGTGAGGACCAGGCATCACGACTGCTGGCCTACTACTGAAGGAATCACTGGAAAAGGACCACGCCCACTGGAACGCCCACAATCCCCTCTTACCGTTCCAAAAATAACATCCCATGCTTAATTTATTGAAATTGTAATAAGTATAAATTTCCCCCTGGGCCAAAAGGGTTTCAAAATTCGAGTAAATTGAGGATTTAAGTTGAATTTCCCACATTGCTTATTCGTCTGGAGGAAAGGTTAAAGTGGCCTGAGTCAAAAGTATCAATATGTCTTAATAAATTTATAAATATAGTTAATAAACTTATAAAGTATAAATATATATGAAACATACAATAGCTAGTATCTAAAATCTTCAAGTTCTAGGACAACTGAAACCTCACACTTTTTTTATTTCACTCTACTTACCCCTCGGAGAAATTAATCGTTAAATGTATCTAAAGCATGTCCAAATAATACAAAAGTTTTTTTATTTATTTATACAAAATCTGACCATGTATTTTTACTGTACATTTTTACAACTAGATAAGTAACAAATCTTTATTTCGCCATAATGGAAAATGCAAAAGTTTTTTTTAAATTCAAAGTCAAATAACCAACAAAAAAAGCACATAATTTTAAAAGTAAAGTAATTTGATATTCTTGCATTAGAGCATGCTTTCTGTCAGTATAAATACTCGTGCCGGATAGCATGAGTTGTAAAATTAACGTAATTTATCATAAAAAAACAATAAAATATAATATTCATTTAGAAAAAAAAAACTTTGAAAATCTTAATCTTTTCAGTCAAGAATGTACGAATATATAAATTTTTTGTAACTGGCTAAAGTTCTAAAACCGCCTATATTAAATCTATTTTCATAAATAATTTTACGTACCGTGTTATAAGAAAGATTATAGTAGTTAGTTGTATTTATTTTTGGTGAATCATGTTAATAGTTCGATCTTGTGTGATATAAGTTTAAGTATTTATTAAATAATTTATACATATGAAGACGTGAACACTTCACTTAAAACTTTAATTCTTTAGTACTAAATTTTTGAACAATCATATTAGCAACTTCAAACAGAGCTTACTCTGCTGATTTACTAAAAATAAAATCAAACTGATTATGAAAAATTATATTAATTTTGCAAAAATATTTAATTAATCAATTTTCAAAACATTTTCCATGATTTTTGCTAAGGATAAGGATAAAGAATAACGACGGATGTAACAAGTGTTGTTTTAAAATATGTTGGGAATATCCTCAGTGAAAGAGATAAATTAAAACTATGAAGAATGGGAGGAATAAAATAGGTCGAAATCAGTGTAAGCAGACGATTTTTTAGATAATTACAAAATAATTAGTTTTTCTAATTAAGTTTTTTAAAGTTAAGTTATTTCAAATTCTTCAAAACTAATTCGGTTCAACACACAAAAAAAAATAATTGGCTTCGATTTAGAGATACGAATTATAAGGTCTGAATTTTTATAATACATTATTTGATGTTTAATATTAGCATATTTATTTGAAGAAAAAAAATTATTAAAGGCATTATGTAATTATTTAATCTTTGTTAGGTATTTCTTGTGAGTGCAGTTTCATAGTTATAAATTGTTTATGGTGATTTTTTTATCACTTGTAAGCTCTTTTATTATTTCCTAAACCGTTTTTATGTTAATTTTTTTAAAATCTTAGTTAAATTTGTAAGAGGATTAAAATAGGTCGAAATCAATGTAGTCGACGGTTTGTTCGAAAATTACAAAAAAATGAGTTTTTCTGATTAAGTTTTTTAAAGTTGTTATTTCAAGTTCTTCAAAACTAATTGGGTTAAACACACAAAAAAAAATTATTGGCTTCGATTTAGAGATCCGAATTATAAGATGTGAGTTTTTATAATACATTATTTGATGTTTAATATTAGCATATTTATTTGAAAACAATCATTAAAGGCGTTTTTAATTATTTAATTTTTGTTAGGTATTTCTTGTAAGTTTGTTCATAATTGTAGATTGTTTATGGTGATTTATTTTTATCATTTGTAACCACTTTTATTATTTCCTAAATTTTTTTGTCTTAATTTTTTTAAATCTTAATTAAATTTGTAAGAAAATTCCTGTATCTTTTATAATGTGGTAAAGATAGATAGATAAGTGTACAGATCCGTTTGGCCCATGACTTGGTCAACGGAGTTGCTGCTTACTTATAAACTTATAATTTACATAAAAAGTAAACAATCGAATTTTTTAACATAGCAATTTTGTGATCAATTAAAGAAATCACCAGTCTTTGTCCTTCTGTAAATAAATACATTTTATAAACTTTACCCTTTTTTTTACTTGATGAAAACTGCACAAAAATGAAAAGGGATATTGCTAATCTGGTAGTATTTACTTCCCTAGCATTTTTATTTTATTTTTATTATAAATGACATTAAAATTAATTTGATATTATTGTTTTTTACTGAATGAAAATTTAATTAAGGGAAAAATAGCAAAATAAAAGATTTTAATCCTAAAATCTTGTTTATTGGACCCGACAATTTTTTTAAAACAATTAATATCTTGTATAATGTCTTCTGTTAGGGAAAACCTGTTAGGCATACTGTTAATAAAGTTGTCTCTAATTTCATAAGGAATTCCACTCCATAGGTGTTGCAATGCTGCACTCAGTTTTTGCAGGTCAACTGGCTGCGGATGATGATCGAAAAGCCTTCTCTGGAACTCATCCCACATGTGCTCAATGGGATGGAGACAATGTGGGAACGGGCAGATGGGAAATTCCAAGTTTTTCTAAACACTGATGAACAACTCTGCCTCTATGAGGTCTGGCATTGTCATCCAGAAATCGAAAATCTCTGCCAATGAGATCCCTGGTTTGAGGGATGTATTCCTCGATGATGTCTTGGACATAACGCACTGCGATGAGGTTGCCTTCAACAATATGGAGTCCAGTTGGTCCTCCAGTGTAAATCCCAGTCCAAACCATTACACCCCCTCCTCTAAATTGCAGTGAAAGAGCGATTGACTACGAATCCATTGCGTTGATAAAGGCCTTGGCAAAACATCTTGTACTTCATTTCGGATCTAGCGAACACTATTGAAAATGATTATTTGGAGATCGTGAAATGCGGTCTGGTGTGTCGTAGGTTTTAGAAAAACATTTTCTTAACCGTGCCAACGTTTCTATTTTTATTGAGATCATCTTCTGTCGTGGTGGAGCTCTCAACATGACACACAAGAATGACACATCTACACAGAAAACAAACACTTTGAGCTCTGAAGATGATCTCGAAAAGATCGAAACGTTGGCACGATAAAGAAAATGTTTTTCTAAAACCTACGTCCCACCAGACCACATTTCACGATCTCCAAATAATCATTTGCATAGTGTCCGCTAGTTTTCTATAGTTTTCTAAACATTGATGAACAACTCTGCCTCTATGAGGTCTGGCATCGTCATCCAGAAATCGAAAATCCCAGCCAATGAGATCCCTGGTATGAGGGATGTATTCCTCGACAATTTCTTGGAGCTAACTGACTGCGATGAGGTTGCCCTCAGCAATATGGAGTCCAGTTCGCCCTCCAATGTAAATCACAGCCCAGACCATTCCAACGCCTCCTCCAAACTACCCTGAATGAAGCATGAACTGGGGTATTGTACGCATCCGCTGTTCTCGGTAGAAACTTCGGCGTCTGCTGTCACTATACAGACAAAAACGCGTCATCAGTAACAGCATTATCTTCCAAGCACTCGCTGCACCATATTCTCCAGTTGCTGGTGCGGGCTGTTGCTGGAGGTCGTGTCAAAGAGACATACGATGTGATTACGAATCGTAACTTTATAACGATAAACTAATAAAGTCTTTAAAAAACTAGATATTACATTTTTTTTAAAACCTTTATAAAAACTGTCTATGTATGAATTATAATAAAATATTTTTTAGATAAAGGTTTTTTTAAATATATATAATAATTGTAAAATTAATCCATTATATTTCGTGGTCCGATTGACGAAATCTTTCAATTAATTAATCTTTATTTAACGTATTGGTTGAAATGAAAAAGTTAGTGTCACAAGCGGGATTCGAACCCACGAGCCGAAGGTTTCAGTCCTACCTTAAATAAAGTACAAAATGAATGTTATACTTTAAAATAATCGTACATAGTTGTTACTTCATAAATTTTTAGTACCAATACTGCCCATTGGATTGACTAAGAACACGCACGATTATTAACAATGTACATTCACAGTTCATCTCATATAACTTTGTAACATAACTAAGTTGCGAATGGTACAGTACTGAATATAGAAGTTTTGTTCTATTGATTCATCGAGGAAGGAAGCATTCCTGAACATATGTCATACCACATCGTACAAATACCATTGGCATTCTCGATATTTTCGTCGTCCACCCTAAGAAACCTGCTAAAGATTCCGTTTAAATTATCACCCGACAACGATATGAAAGACTGAGGCAATTAATAATTTGTTTTTCTATTTGTAAGATTTTTTAATAAGCATAAAAAATTGGTTTATTTCTCAGTTTAAAATTAAATACTTTTTTCCACTTCAACTACATTAATAGATGATAATCTCTCATCATTAGAAAAGAAATAGTTGAATTTCCTTCATTTAGTTTCAATTTTATATATTCTCTTTATATAATCGAACTGTGAAAATAATTCAGCAGACAAATAGATATTAAACTAGAACTTTCGGAATTTGACAAGTATGCCAAACATCACACATAGCATCAAGGCATACAACTGAAATTAAGGGTGAAAACGGTGAATAAAATTTTCTAGTAATTATTATAGAAGTTATGGGAAAGTCAAAATGTCGTACAATCCATCACAGGGTAATTTTTTTTTTTTTTTTTTTTTTTTTTTTTTTGGCGTTATGAACTATGCATATTAGCCATGTGACAATTCATATACGTGTGTTCAAATTTGGGGGGGGGTTATTGTGAAAAAAGGGCCAGAGGCGACGGTGGGAATCGAACCCACGACCGCGGCGTGAGAGTCTCTCATGCTAACCAC